GGGGTGGGGGAGCTCCTTTCCGTCTTGATGCTTATGGATGATGACCTGGCTGTGGAGGCACACAGGTCACCCTGAAATGGAAACTGTTAGTGAAGGTGGGACTAAGAAAAACAACACCACCCACACGTCCGCCACCGGCTTCATTTGTATTCTAGCATTACTTACCATTTGCAGACAAATTCTATCAGGTTCTTTTTCTGTCTTCTTTTCCTTTGCTTTGTTTTAAGAAATGCCCCTGTTTTTATAAAATGGAGGTAGGATTAGATTGTTTTATTGTAGTTCTGCAGTGAGAAAATACAACTGATAGGATTGTGCAGGGAAAATATTTTAAAGCTTATAGACTGCCCTGGATTCAGCGATAATCACCACCGTGAGCTGGTTGCAGGGTCTCGGCCAAGTTACTTGACGCCTCAGAGCCTCGGCTTCCTCCTCTGTAAAACAGGGACAAGAGTGATTTGAACCACGGAGTTCGGTGAGGCGAGGGCTGGCCAGGCAGCCCCACAGGCGCGTGGTCCCCACAGTCGCAGACCTGCTGTTACCACTGTTACTAACATTGCTTTGTATTTAGGATCCCAGGGCTCTACCCTGGGGACTTCTGACTCTAGAGGGCGTCCCCTCACACCCCTCTAGTCCTTGCGATTTACTGTCCTTTGTTGCACGAATGAAACAAAGAGGTTCATAGCTCTGGGCATTCACTCAGTGGCTGTGCTGCAGACCCCTTCGGTTTGGGGACGAGTGGTGACCTCGGGAACGTCTCCCCAGGCCGAATCCCAGACCTTGTGTGCTTCCTTCGTGAGGCTTCAGGTGGCAGAGGGCACCGGCGTCAGCAGGCGGGATGGGAGTGGCGGGATGCTGGGCTGGGGCTGAGGTGCTAAGGCAGCGCCAAGCTTGCACCTTTACTTCTGTGGGGAAGACGCGAGGCTGTGTTTGCTCTGGGGTCTTGTGCGAACGTGGCATCGTTAGGCGAGCAGAGGAATCTGCAGTGGAGGGTAGTTACGTTTCTTGCCCAGAGCAGGCATATGGACTTGGCCTGTATGCTAGGGCGGGGCAAAAGTAGGTTTACAGTTGTTCCTGTGGACAATAGAACGATAATTAATAAATAGTAATACGAGGACAAATCCTGGGTTTTGGGTACTCACTACTGTAAGCCTCCTTTGGCCCCACCCTGTATTTTGTTCAGTTGCCATAAGTCAGGCAGCTAAGCACTGCATATAAGACTCAACAAGGTGGGTGGTTATGGCTTGGCTGGTGGGGCTTAGTGGTTGAGCGTCAGCCTATGAACCAGGAGGTCATAGTTTGATTCACATGCCCGGGTTGGGGGCTTGATCCCCAGTGGGGGGGTGCAGGAGGCAGCTGATCAATGATTCTCTCTCATCGATGTTTCTATCTCTCTCCCTCTCCCTCCCTGTCTCTGAAATCAACAAATATCTTTAAAAAAAGAAAAAATTATTTAAAGAAAGAGATGGGTGGTACGGCTCTCTGATGGGAAGAGCCTGGGTGGGCGGACGAGGGTGGCATGGCGGCTGTCTTGGGCATCTCAGTCTTCCTGCTGTGCCGTGACCAGCGTTTGGCTTCCAGCCCCGAGGTTGGTCACCTTGTCGTCCAAGACGGCTGCTGGAGTCCCAGCCACGGAACCCAGATGCCAGGTGACAGGAGGTCCTCACGTTTCAGATCCCTTGCAGAAATGCCACAGACTTTGCTGCATCACACTGGCCAGACGGAACTCAGCCGCATGGCCACACTGCGAAGCGAGCCTGGGAGATGTGATCCTTATTCCAGGCGGGACCGTGCCTGGCTCAGCATCCAGGTGGTCTGACTGGGAGAAGGGAGAGATGGGGGTAGTCGGCCTCCCTCAGTGGCTCCTGCAGGTGTGTGCGATGGGAGGATGGTGGCCTTAGATTGCTCCCCCTCTGGGAAGGGCTGGGCCACACACAGGGCAGCTGGGATTCTTAGTCTGTGAGCCTTTTCCAAGCACCTCAACAGGACAGTGAAACATCCGTAAGTGAGTGGCTGCCATTCCGAGTTCCATGGGCCGCCCAGGCAGTGACCTTGAGGGATGCTCCCTGCAGGGATTATGCCGTGTCTGCCCAAATCACACTACTCAGGGTTGTGTTCAGGCATCAGGATATTCCATTCTTTCCTTCCCGCCCCTCTTGTTGGAAGCTCGCTCGGCGGGAAAGCCACGCATCCCCCTTTGCAGGACAGTGAGACCTCGCTTGTCTTGCGCTCAGAAGAATAGAATAATCTAGTAAGTCCTGAAGCTTAAGACGTCGCCCACGGCTCACATTTTGTTATTTTAATCCCATTATCTGTAGTTCTGGTGTTCTCACTCTGTAAGAATAAAAGAAAACCAAGGCGCCCTGTGGTGCTCAGGAGGCCCCATGAAAAGCAGGGAGGCTTGGGGGCTCCCCCGCCGGCTTCTTCAGTCCCTTTAGCATTGACACGGGCCCCCCCTAGTCCTCCGAGGACATCCTGGGGTGTTGCTTTGAGGAGCGGAGCGCGGGGAAGGAGAGGGCGGCGTCAGGGGGAGGTCGGTGGGAAACCGAGGGAGGTGATTCTTTAAGGCCAAGGCCATGCTCGCCAGTTCTAATGGCCGTTTTGCTGTTTATAGGATGAGTGAATTGCTTTTATTTTTTTTAAAAAAATTGCAAATCACCTCTAAGGCGTGACCACGGCTCTTAATTTAGAACATTGAAAAAGACGCCAGGAGAGCACGGATGCCAGTGCACAGGCAGGACCCAGTGACACAGATCCTGTCCCGGAGGCGGCCTCAACCTCAGCCCCTGAACCTCAGCCGTCTCTCCAAGGACACCCTCCCTGCTGAGGAGCCGCGGGCACTGGCCTCCTACGGCCATAACCACCTCCAGCAGTGAAATGCACAGGGAGCCGCTTGGAGAAGCTCCGCAGGACAGGCTGAGCAAAGGGAGAGCTGCGGCGACCCGCTTGGATAGGGCAGGAGAGGGAGGCTTTGTTTCATTTTTATTTTTAAATATATTTTTATTGATTTCAGAGAGGAAGGGGAGAGGGGGGGAGAGAGAGAAGCATCAGTGATGAGAGAGAATCATGGATCGGCTGCCTCCTGCACGCCCACACTGGGGATCGAGCCTGCAACCCGGGCATGTGCCCTGACCAGGAATTGAAGTGGGACCTCCTGGTTCATAGGACGATGGCCAACCACTGAGCCACACTGGCCGGGCTGCAGTTTATTTTTGCTGTGGAGGTTGCTGGGACAGCTACAGAGCTGAACAGTGTTTGAGAGCTGCAAGTGGCCGTTGGCAGAAAGAAGGTTTCCCACCAGGATTTAAGGGAAAAGAGGTCAGTGCCCCTGACTAAAGAATCAGGTATTGCATGTTTTAAAAATTCTTGCAGCACACCACTTTAAAATCGCTGACCTAGAGCATCAGACAGTTTCTTTAACTGTCCCAGAAATAAGGCAAAGTTGGGTAAAATATGAAATAAAGAAAGTGAATAATAGAATAAGAAGACTTTTTAAATAAAGATTTTTTATTGATTTTTTTAGAGAGAGAGTAGGAGAGAGAAAGAGAAGCATTGATCGGCTGTCTCCTGAACACCCCCTACTGGGGATTGAGCCCAAAATCTGGACGGGTGCCCTGACCAGGAATCGAACTGTGACCTCTTGGTTCATAGGTTGATGCTCAATCACTGAGCCATGCCAGCCGGACTGTATGTCAGTCCTTTTAAATAGCAATTCTAACAAATGAAGGCAAGCACAAACCTTTGAATAGAGGTTATCGTTGGATGAAAACAAATTCCCTAACGAAAGATTTTAATATTGTGCTATCAATATCTCTATCTCAGACACAGATGATGATGGGTGGACAGCCTACCTTCAGGGCTGTTGGAAAAAAAATCAATGATCTTTTAAAAATTTGAGCTCTGATATTTGCAAAGTATTTCTGCTTCCAATGAGGGAAAGCATAAGAGGAAGATGCAAACAGGAAAAATCCATCAATCTATTCCGAAAAAGAAGTGGCTCCCACAAGATAAGTCACTACAAAGCAGAATTGTATTAAAATGGACTGAGGTCCTGAGGTCCGGTCCCCACACAGGCTACAAGAATTCTCCTGGTGTTTGTGCTCTGGCCCCAGGGGGCATGTTTCGTGGAGCAGTGCTGCCCACTACTGGCCACTTGGCTCATTGCCATTTCAGAACTGTCAGATGAAGTCACTGATTTAAAGCAGTGATTTTCAGCCTTTTTCTTCTCCTGGCACAATTAACCAACTACTACAATT